ATAGGGTTTTTCCCACTGAGTGAGCTCTAAGTGAGGTCAGATAACAACACGCCCTGCAAATGGGGTTTTTCCAAGGAGCTGTCAGCTCAAGTAGTGACAGTTCTTTGCGGATGAGAATGGTCTTTTTGAGAAGCTCCAAACCCAGTCTTCTCTTTCCAATGGCTGCTAGGCTGCTGGTTTTCATAGCTACCACAGACATGGGGCAAGGATGATGGGAATAGGGTGAGTTAAAATGCCACAAAACGCTGTTGCTACTGAGATTCAGATGTTTTTCTTAAGTAAGCACTCTTCACATTATTGTAGGCCTTTGGTTAATTTTCCAGAGTTCTGTAAAAATTGACTTTGACAATTTTTGCTAGTGTTCTCGTTGCTTTTATGGCGGAGCCGATTTTCAGAGCTTGTTACTCTGCCATTCCAGAAGGCCCTCCACCTTGTTTTAAACACCCCAAACATTTTAATTTTTATCTTATTCGAGACCAAATGTAGTTAGATTTTACTAGCCTTTTATCTATTTTCACAAACTGAACACACCTGTGAACTTGTACCCAGAATGTTCTTCATGCCCCTTTCCAGTCACTAAGTATCCCTCCTCCAAGATAAACTGTTTTTAAATTTGGTATAATTTGATTTAGTATATACTTTTTTTGTGTCTGGCTTCTTTCACTCAACATTGTTTATAAAATTCATTCACGTTGTCAGATGCAATTGTCCATTCATCCTCATTGCTCCGATATTCCATTGTATGAATATGCCACAATTTATTCTACTTGGGTGGACATTTGGATCGCTTACAATTTAGAGTTGTTACAATGCATTCTTGCACATGTATCTTTGTATATATGTGTACATTTTTGTTAGATATATACCTAGAAATGGAACACCTAGGTCATTTGTTATATGAATGTTAAATGTTTGTGGATACAGTCAGTTTTCAATGTTGGTATACCAATTTACATTCTCACAGTAGTGTATAAGTATTATATTTATTCAATATCCTTGCCATACTTGGTATTATTTGACTTTTTCATTTTAATCATTCTGCTGAGTATGTGTGGTATCACATTATGACTTTAATTTGAACGTAATGCATTTGGCCCATTTTCATAGTGTTATCTGCTTTTTTCTAACCAATTTGTAGGAATTCTTTTTTTTCCTTAAAAATTTTATTTATGAGAGAGAGAGAAAGAGGGCATGAGCTGGGTAGGGGGAGAGGGAGAGGGACAGGCAGACTCCCCACTGAACACGGAGCCTGACGAGGGGCTCCACGTGGACTCAATGCTGGGCTCGATCCCAGGACCCCGAGATCATGACCTGGGCTGAAATCAGACCCTTAACCGACTGAGCCACCCAGGCACCCCAATTTGTAGGAATTCTTTACATATCCTGTATACCAATATATTCTTTATAGGTTTACAAATATTTCCTTCCACTCTGTGACTTGCCTTTTTCCTCTTCAAATGGTGGTGTTTGATAAAGAGAAGTTATTAAATTCGATGTAATTTTATTTATCAATATTTTTTGCTTTATGTTTAGTACTTTTTGGATCCCGTTAAGATTTTGTACTGACTCAAAGAAATCAAATGCAATCAATTGATTTAATTTTTTTCCTGTAAATTTTTTTTGAAAAATCCTATGATTTATGCAGAACATTTTAGTCTCCCTTGAAGAACAGTGGTGCTTTTCCAAGAGTGTATTTTTTGAACAACTGTCCTCTTTAATTTACAAAAGCATCCACCAAACATCAAGCCTTACATAACTCCATTCCAGAAGATTTTTTTGTTCTGTCCTATCAAACCCAGCAATTCCACTGAGTATATTTCTCATCCCATTTGTTCCTACTCACCCATCTGCTCTATTTTCAGAGATAACAGAGACTAACTAATTAGATGTGAATTTCTCTAACTTTCTGCTCTCTGCTCCTATCTCATAAGATAGATCCTCGTCTGTATTTAATTCCCCTCCCCTTGCTTCAGTAGAAGACATTTTATAGAAAGTAGGTCTATCCCACCTTAAAAAATAATAATAAATTTTTTCATTCTTTAACCCATAGTAGGTATTCCCATCTCTCTCCTTCCTGAAAAAAGAAATATCTTACACATTTGATAAAATTGCATGGAATTAAATATACCCACACAATGAACGCATGTAATACTGGTGAAATCTAACTAGGGCAGATGGATTGTATCCAACTCAATTTCCTGGTTGTGATATTATGCAAGATGTTGCCATTGGGGGAAACTGGGTGAAGGTATATTGGGTTGCACTGTATTATTTCGCACAGCTATACATGAATCTATAATTATATCAAAATAGGAAGTTAAAAGAGAAGTCTTTCTAAAAGTTATCTGTAATAATAACCACCATTTATTGAGTTCTTGCTGTGGGCTAGGTACTATTCTAAGCACTGACAGGTGGTTACTGTTGTTGACCTCATTTTATAAATGAGGAAACTGGGGCACAGCGTGAAGCCACTTATACAGGGTCACCCAGCTCATAGATGGCAGAGTTAGCAGTCAGATCCAGGCAGCCTCATTCCAAAGGTGGAGCTCTGAGACGCTCTGCTCTACTTCTTGTGTGTCTGTTTTCATATCCTTTCACACTTCAGCCCACCCCTCTATAATTTAGCTTCTCTCCCAGTCACTCCCCTGACTCTGCTTTGCCTGGATCACCAATAAGTCTGTTGCTAGGGGCGCCTGGGTGGCTCAGTCAGTTAAGTGTCTGCGTTCAGCTCAGGTTGTGATCCTAGGGTCCTGGGATCAAGCCCCAGCATCCGGCTCCCTGCTCAGCGGGGAGTCTGCTTCTCCCTCTCCCTCTGCCCCTCCCCACCTCCACTCCCCCATTTGTGCTCTCTCTCTCAAATAAATAAATAAAATCTTTAAAAAAAAAATGTCTCTTGCTAAATCAAATGGGTTCTTTTTTGGTCCTTACCTTTCTTCCTGCAGCTTTTGATATTGTTCATACATTCAGTAAATATTTATCGAGCACAGTGTGCCAGACTGTTTGATGGCAGTGAACCAACCAGGCAAAGCTGCCTGCAGCTGAAGGATGTGTATGTCTTGGTACAGTTAGGGAGTCAGAATCTTCGGTCACTGCTGACTTGTTTGTGGGTGGTCAACAAGCCCCCTTCTGTGTTCCATGTTTTTTTTTCCCCCCGCCCATGGCTAAAACAGATCATATGGTTATTTTTGTTTGTTTTGCAACATGTAGCCGGAATTACTATATTTAGATACCATTTTCACTTTTCCCCGGATAGAAATCTGAACTTTCTGAGCAGTTGTCATGAATATGGATAAATTAAGAGAGCCAAATCCTGAACTATACTACCCCTTCTTATATAATTATTAATGATAGATTATGAAAATTGCCTTTGCCTTTTTCTTGCCTTTTCCTGTATAAGAATAATTTGGATTAATTTTATGCCCCCTTATTTGGAAATACCAGGAAGATTTCTATAGAATATTAAATAAGTTTCATTCTATATGTTCAAATAAAAAGCTACTCCGAGGAAAATACTTGGTTTTATGAGGACATGATGGTAGCTTCTTGCAAACTGAGTACTTAGGCCTGAGTCGAAGGGAAGGAGTCATCTTGTCTCCTTCCACATATGCATGGTTGTTTTCTGTATTTTCATTCCTTTCCCTAATTCAGTAAAGAAGAAAAAAAAATTTCTCCTACTTCTTCATGCCAAAAAAACAACTCTTGTTTTATTAGTTCTAATGGGAATGTGTTTTGCTTGATGAGTGGAAGCAACCATAATCCTCTTGCTTCCATCCAGGGTAACTGTTTTTGTCTGATAGCTGTTTGTTTACAGCACCAGTTAGCAATTTGTATGGACAGCGCTGCTCTGAATGAAACCCAAATGCCTCTTGGAAGAAAGAAGACGGATTCAGCCCAGCAACTTGCAAAATTTTAAAAACAATTCCTTGTCAAACATGTGAAAAACAACTCTTCCCTCTCCACGACTCAAGGAAAAAAATGAGAAACTATCTTACACCAGATGGTGATTCCTTGCTAGTAAAATAGGCCTGGGCTGACTCGGCTCCATCCCTTTATGTTCCCTTTGCAAAACCCACAAAGTACACATTTGGGGCCACTTTTCAGAGTTGGCAACAGTCTCTGCATTTTAAGGAAATCATATGGACACACACACAAAAAAGCCACAATGGATGAAGGGCTCGGGATCCCCAGAGTCCAGAAACGAGATACATAGGCCTTAAATTCTAGGTCATCAGTTCGAACCTGGCCTGGGCCCAAGAATATCCCGTCTGTTGCCAGGTTTGGTTACTTGATTAAATTTGGTTAAAACAAATTGAGAAAAGGTTATATTTTCTTGTTGACTAAACCTCTTTTTAAAAAGAAGAAGAGGAAGAAGGAGGAGGAGGAGGAAGTGGAGGAGGAAGTGGAGGGGGAGATGGGCAAGAAAGAAAAAAAGAAAGAGAAGAATTAAAACTGTAAAAAAAAAAAACCCCACCCTTTGGGATGATAAAGTGATTCTTAAATTTGAAATTACTGCAGGTCTAAAAGATTCAATCATTAATTTTAAGGCCAGTACCTTTCTGTACTATTTACATGTAAGGTATTAGAGTGGCTTTCATATATTTAGACGTTATTTAGAGAGGATTTGAATGTGTGTGTGTGTGTGTGTGTGTGTGTGTGTGTTAATTACCTTGGCTTTTTTAAAGCTGGAATAAATGCCTCAAGGCACAATGAGACCCTCTCCCTGAAGGTGTTGAAGCAGAGTCTGGTCAGCCACTTGCTAGGGATGTTGTGAAGAAGATTTAAGCACTAGAATAGTAATTGTATTGGTTAGTTTTAAATCTTTCTTCTTCATCTAAAATCCCATGCATTATGAATCAGTCCCCTTTGCCTGTCATTTTTTAAATTACCTTGATTTGGGGTATTCCCAGCCACTTGAGGTAATACCTGTTGTCTGTTTAGTTTTGCCTTATTTGCAAGAAACCATTGACTGCCTTCGCTAATGTCCTGTTTTATTTCTTTAGGTGTCTGAACACACACAGTTAAGTTGGATCCTCACCTGCATGGTCAGATTACCCCGGTTACAGCATTTACACCAGTGGAAGGTAAATGCCAGATTAATAAACCAAAAGGAGTTCAAAGTCCCCACTATGACTGTTGTTTTCTTCCCCTGTTTATTTTTGTGTTCTGCTCTGGGAATCCTGAGTTTACTGGCCTCCCTGGTCTGTTACTCACTAGTGGCCCGAACAGCATCTTAATTTCTTGGCCTCGGGGTATTAAATGGAAAGTAAGAGGGTTCTCCAGGATTCCAACCTAAAAACAGGATAAAAATATCCACATTATTAACTGTTTGATTTTAGCTGTAGGTCGAATCAGAGTGATCTTTGGATAGATTTGGTAATGACTTTGGACCTACCACATTATAATTAACAAACAATTGCAATTTCTGGATTACTGGACCCCGAAGTTGCCTGCCATCGCCATGTAATTAGCCAGCAGTAAGGCTGGAATGTCTTCACTGTGCGGAGAAGGAACAACATATTTTATTTAACATTTAAACATGTTGAGTCCAGGCAACAGTTCAAACCCACAGCAAAATTAAGGCTGTACTTTTTCTAGGAAGTTCAACTGAGAAAGATAAATTGGATAATTCATAGTACTTCATTTCCATTTATTTTTGCAATTGGATAACCTGAGGGTAGGTAGCCCCCAAGTGCGTCAACACTAAATTTCAATTTCAAGCTTCTTTCCAGCATATTTTCAGGGCCGTTGGTTTCTTCAAAAGCTGGTTCAGAAGCCTCCAGATCCGTCGCAGAGAGAAACAGAGCTTTTAAAGTGACCGTGCCGAAATAAGAGGTTAAGTGGTAATGCTGCAGAATCATTACCTGCCAGGGATTAGAAACAAAATTTTGTAATGTTCTCTACCATATTTTGGTTTCAGCCAAGACTTTCTCATTTTATCGAAATACTCTAAGTTGAATACTGAGATCCTTTTCAGAAGAACTGAATACTAATTTAATGAGAAATGTTCCCACTTTAAAATCGTGTCTGAGAACCTACTGATAACACATGACTAGAAAATTCACTAACTCAGGTTTCCCCCACTATGCAAAACTAGAGCATCCCAATGAAACCCTTCATAAGCCGAAATGGAGCAGAGCCAAGAAACAAGTACCATTTCATACAGGCAAAAATCTTCTTCCGGTTTCTTTCAGTTACTGAAAGCAGGCACCAATACATGTCTTTCGGAAAAGCCAAGTGGCATAATGAGAAGTTTCAGGTAGCAAGGGAAACCTATATTCTGGAGAAGGCTTCCCACCAGGCTGTGATTTTTTTTTTTTTAAAGGGTTATTTATTTTTTAGAGAGAGAAAGAGTGTGAGCAGGGGGAGGGGCAGAGGGGCTGGAGAGACAGAGAAGCCGACTCCCCACTGAGCACAGAGGCAAAGCAGTGCTCCATCTCACATCCTGAGATCATGACCTGAGCTGAAACCAGGAGTGGGTCGCTCAACCGACTGAGCCACCAGGCGCCCACTGTGATATTTTATTTGTGGGAAAAACATGGATTTCAAATGCCATCCTTATCCTAGAGCATGTTACTGCCTTCTCAGGTCATTCCTTCCTTAGCAAATACTGGCGATGCCTTCTGCAACTCTCAAAGCACACTAGGGGCTGGAGGTACAGCAGTCAACAGGACAGACGGATGCACCCACTTTCACGAGGCTTGTAGTCTATTTGGGCAGAGACAGTTGCACAAGCAATCAAGAAAAGTGATCAGAAGGAGTGATCAGAGGGAGGGGTCCCAGTACTGTAGGAGGATCTAAGAGCACCTCGCTTGGTTTTGATTAAGGGGAAATAGGGTAGAAAGGTGGGGTCAGGGCTGCTGAGGTCACAGTTATTTGTAGGATTCCACAGGGGGTAACACAGATGGGAGGCATCTGGGGCACATAATAGGCACTCATTAAATATTAATGCTCTCCACATCTCCCCTCTTCCTTTGTAATTTCAAGACCCAGTATTCTAATATAAAAAGACTACACATCTCCGGGGGTCCTCCTACACTGTTGGTGGGAATGCAAGCTGGTGCAGCCACTCTGGAAAACAGTATGGAGGTTCCTCAAAAAGTTGAAAATAGAGCTACCATACGATCCAGCAATTGCACTACTGGGTATTTACCCCAAAGATACAAATGTAGGGATCCGAAGGGGTACATGCACCCCAATGTTCATAGCAGCAATGTCAATAGCCAAACTGTGGAAGGAGCCAAGATGTCCATCGACAGATGGATGGATAAAGAAGATGTGGTATATACACACACACACACACACACAATGGAATATTATGCAGCCATCAAAAGGAATGAAATCTTGCCATTTGCAACGACGTGGATGGAACTGGAGGGTATTATGCTGAGCGAAATAAGTCAATCAGAGAAAGACATGTATCATATGACCTCACTGATATGAGGAATTCTTAATCTCAGGAAACAAACTGAGGGCTCCTGGAGTGGTGGGGGGTGGGAGGGATGCAGTGCCTGGGTGATAGACATTGGGGAGGGTATGTGCTATGGTGAGCGCTGTGAATTGTGTAAGACTGTTGAATCACAGACCTGTACCTCTGAAAAGAAGAAGATAGCAGGAGGGGAAGAATGAAGGGGGGAAATCGGAGGGGGAGACGAACCATGAGAGACGATAGACTCTGAAAAACAAACTGAGGGTTCTAGAGGGGAGAGGGGTGGGGAGAAAAAAAAAGACTATAAATCTAATGCAGTAGCAATTTTTAAAAATTGAGTTCTCTTCCCATTTGCTCATTGCCAAATTAAACTTTTATTATCTTTATTCTGCAATTGCTGCAAACTGGGCTTTATCATGGACACTGCAATAAAGAGATATACTGAAGGAATTATATATTCAAACTTCTAAATTTCCTTTAGCATTCGTTGCTAGAAGCCAGAAACTACTTGAAGAAACCAGAAGAGTTAAATTTATACCTAAATGATGGAACATTGACATTAAGATGGGTAAAGAGAGAAGCTGTTGCTTTTCAGAGCCAGACTCAAAGGGTGTGTTGGCTGGGGAAGCCCAAGTTGGGAGCCCATGAACTTGGTCCTCAGAATCATGCAAGTTTATATATTCAGTTCAGTTTATTTAGAAATAATCAGGCCTCAGGGAGGTGATTCATATTAACTAAATGAATAATATCTACACACCAAAATCACCATTTATCATTTTACAAGAGATGATAGGCTTAGGCCTTGGAAGCAATGACCAGTAAACATCACACAGTCTTCCCCAATTGGTAGTTCTCCCCAGAGAGCCAAAGTACCTGTTAGCAATCCTCAGCTGTAGCAGGGAATTGGCATCACAAGGGGCTTCTGTTGAAGGGGTACATATTCGTAGCTTATAGTTGGCATCCATTAATTAAATCCTTCTAGTATCACCTCTGGTGTTACTATCAGCTTCCCCATTAAGGAAATATTTTAGCCTCTATGGCTTGTCCTGTTCACTGGAATCGCTTTATCCGTCTGTTGTCAGTACCTACAGGTCAAGACAGGTTCATAATTGGTTCGATTAAAATTTCTCTTCGTTTCATCTTTTAAATGTCGTGACTTTTGGTGTTTTGGTTTTTTAAGTGTGATTTTGGGGCGCCATTACATTTTTTTTGTCAGTAGCACAGTGGGAGACTTTCTGGGAGGCTTCTGTGGATATAACAATATGGCTTTCGATGTTAACTTGTCAAATTAATTAATAATGGAGTTTATCTGATTTGGAACCTAGAGACTCTTCTCCCCTGGCTTTAATTAAATGCACCCGAAATAGTGGCAGTGCAGGATCCGACATGGGGCCAGTGGTGAAGTGTATTTCCCTTATTCCTGCCTGAGCCTGCAACAGGGAGCCAAGGCAGTCCCCTGGCTTTTAGTGTTGCTAAAAGGAACTGAGATATAATGGTAGTACAGTAGCTTCAGACTACCCTTGGCTTGCTTTAAAGATTGCTTAATTTAACGGTATCATTAGGTTCACGTCCGATTTCTTTGCCTCCTTTCTTTTCACTGGACAGGTGAAGATTGCCACGCAGAAGCATGGCGGGACAGTGGGCCTGCTCACGTACCCGGTGCTCCAGGCAGCCGACATCCTGTTGTACAAGTAAGGAGCAGACTGCACCCCTGGTCTTAGGCATACTGACAAGAGAGTGTTCGAGCCTATCCCGCAAAGATTTGGCTCATGGAAGGGGGATATGGAAAGGATTGTGCGAATCAGTGTGCCTCTATTACCAGTAATAGGTACAACAGGATAAAAGTTATGTTTTACTGTGAAACTAGTAACAGGGCTAACACTTACATAGCACTTACTATGTGTTGGAAACTGTTATAAGTGCCTGGCAGACACTCACCCAGTTAATCTTCGCAACCACCTTGTGAAAGTTGCATGACTATCACCCCCATTTTATAGGTGAGGAAATTAAGGCACGGAGTGCGTAGTCCCTTGCCCAAAGTCACGTAGCTAGCAAAGCTTGGACCCAGGATTTGAGCATAGAAAGTTTGGGTACAAGATTGTTGTGCTCTTAACCACTATGTAATATAGACTTCCCTGGTAATAATTAAGCTTCAGGAGTTTTCAGTGTTGATTTCTCATACAATCTAGATTCTAAAGCAATGCTGTGTAATAGAACTTGCCTGCAATTATGGAAATGAATCCGTGCTTTCCAAGACCTTAGCTGCTAGCCACAGGACATGTTGACAGAGAACTGAATTTTAAATTTTATTTGATTTTAGTAATTTAAATGGAAATAGCCACCTGTGTCTGGTGGCTATTGTATTGGATCAGCAGTTGAGAGCAAGTTTTTCAACACGCTGTAGGGTACCCTACTTTTCCTGGACCCATAATCCCTCTAGTCAGTCAATGCTGTCCTTTACAGGCCTCAAACCCTATAACCAGAGGATGCCGAGGCCTGCCCTCTCTGTGCTTCTGACCCCACCCCTCTCCCAGTCCTTCCCTGCCATCCCCACGTAACCTCCCCTGGCCCCCCATTTGGCCTTCTAGAGATAAAGCTTCCCAATCAGTGTGCGTGCCTAGCCAAGCCTTGCTTCTGGGGAAAAGGAGAAACTCTGTCAATCTGTTTTTCCCCTAAAGACTTGACCCTGCAAAAGTGATTCTTCCCTAGGAAAACTAGAATTCTTTGCATGTAAATACAATAATAGCATGGAGATGACAGTATATGCACCTTGTAGTATGACCCCAGAGCCCTTGTGCCATTATGATGGAAACAGCTAGAAGAATAGCTGCTTAGCTTCACAAATCAGGAATGTCCTTTAATACATGCAGGCTATCTTTAACTCTGATTAAAACATATACATAAGGATTGTGTGTTGTTTGTTGTATTAATTTGAATGCTGGATTCCTAACAGCATTTATTACTTATAATAAGTAACTTTTGACTTATCCTGGGAAATCTACAACACTTTCCTCCAGGAGTAGCAAATGAAAGTCTAATAAAGGTCTAATACATTTCCCAGCAAAGTAGCGTGTTTTCTCACCTGTAAAATGGGAATACTAATTATCCTGCACAGGATTAGTCAAAGATTAAAATGAAATATGGGTCAGGCAGTGCTGTGACTGGGAGCTGTCACTTGGTCATGCTTGGTGATGATTGTCTCTAATGATCATAGTCTTCTGTCAAATTTCACTTTCAAGGGGGACTTTTTTTTTTAATTTTTTTTAAGAGAAAGGGGTGGGGGCAGGGGCAGAGGGAGAGGAAGAGAGAGAATCTTAAGCAGGCTCCACACCCAGTGTGGAACCCGACACAGGGCTCGACTTCATCACCCTGAGATCATGACCTGAGCCGAAATCAAGAGTTGGACGCTTAACTGACTGAGCCACCCAGGCACCCTGGGGGACTACTTTATAGAAGCAAAGGCTGAGGTTTGTCAGCACCAGGATATGGAAGCATACGAGCATGGTAGATTTCCTTAACAGTTCGAGAGCTGTCGTGCAAGAGTCCTCTAAGCTCAGAGCTGTGAAAAAGAGTAAACTTGAGCAAGAGTGATTGTCCCCTTTGTGATACCATGGAGCACAGAGTGGGGAGGAACTTTGCTGAGGCTCTGCTTCAATTCCCTAGCTTTACAAACACAGTCCAGTGAGGGTAAGCAATTTACCCAAAGCTGCACAGCCATTCAGTGGACAGTGGCACATCTGAGCCTGGTTATGGTCTCCTGAGGCCTGTGCTGACCTTCCTTAAGGAGCCAGTAGTTATGTCCCGGGGGGGGGGGGGGGGGGGGGCGAGATCATCTCGTAAACAACCAAGACAACACAAGACCATACATACTAAAGTGATGATGAATTAATTTTTAACCCATTGTGTAAAATACAATTAGCAGAATGATAAAATCCTACAGTTTCTTTCATCTATAAAGTAGGGGCTAATGGAACATAGCTCAAGGGATTATTAAATAACTTGTGTATGAATTGTTACCACCTAGCATATGCTCAGTACAAACGTTTCAAGAATACAAGCAACATTTTAAAAGGTTGACATTGGCAAAAAGTAGCTCCAGATCCCCAAATCTGATACATACTCTACCTGTTTTCAAGCCAGGCCTTAGGTTATGAATGTCTTCTTCTCTTACAGAAAGCAGTAATTATTTCAGATGTGGCTGGTAAACTCAAGCTTTCAGTAGCTTCCTGTCTCTCTCTGCCCTGACATCAGCAGGTTCTCACAGTTGGTTAATGCTTCCAAGGATAAGTCACCCCCCAGGTAACTTCCAGCCTCAGTTACCCTCCAGCCAACTCCTGGGAAGCAAAGAAATTCCCATACTATAAATATTCCTTCTTTAACTCTTACTGATCTGTTTGGTGGTTAGCATATACACTATGCCATGAAATGAAATACCATGAAATACCATGAATGCCATGAAATACCTTTCTTTTTCCTATTTTCTGAAAGGAGGACTATGGTAGCAGATCGTTATGTATCCCCATCAGGTTTCTGATATTTTACATATAATTTGTTAAACAGAGAAAAGTATTTAAAGTATTAAAACCAGGTAATTACCTATGTTCAAGACGACTGCCTCCCACCTTAGCCTAGCACGTAGTCTACCTGCAATGCCATAATTAGATCCTGGGCATGGAACGGAAAACTGCATGCTCCTTTGCTTAAGAGAAAGAGCCCTACATTTGGTCTCAGGCCAGACCTCCTGCCTCTGGCCACACATGCTCTAGCCCGTAGGCTATGGTCCTTTGGGCTCTTTTCTTCTGCCCTCCTCCTCAGACTGTCCCCATGGGTGCCGTTGCCACAGACACGTATCCCACATTTCCTGGGCATGTGTGTCATTTGGACCCCTCCAAAGCATGCAGACAAGTACAGTAAAATCAGTTCTGGTTTACTGCAGCATTTTAACGTACATTTCTCATCTGTTTCATTATGCTTCCCCCTAAGCTTAGAAATGCCTAACTGCTTCCTAATATGTAGCAGCGGCAGGACTCAAACCCAGGTCTGATTTTTAGCCTGTACTGTTGTTTTCCCTATAACATAGCTCAAGCACTTGGGGTATTTTTTGTTTGGTTTTATTTCAGATAGTTCTGGATTTTGAAACCGGTCATAGCCAGAATGTCTATGAATATTTATGTCATAAATATAGATAGATAGATACAAACAAGCGAGTTAGATGGATTCAAAAAACATGTGTATTTTCTCCGTCGAGCAAATTCTATGTGGCCTCTTCACAAAATGTTGATGCAGAGCGTGTGTAGCTTTCGTGTTTGCTTTTGTCAAAATCAGCATTGGAATAAGTGGGACATGGTGGTCCAGAGAATAGACATGAGGGGAGGGAATGAAAGGGGGGCCTTCCAGATAAGTGTATGAAAGATTCATTTCACTGTTTTGGTAGAACTTGGTATGAAACCCAGGAATGGAAAGCTGAGACCATCTTAAGCTTGAGAGTATCATAAAATAGCAGATATTTGAAGAGAGACAAAATACTCAACAGTAGCATTTGTCCCAGTTTTTATTTTGCATCTGTGTTCTTTTTCTGAATATCCAATTTCAAATAACTGGCGATACATTAAATAAATGTTTCTCTCTCCCTTTCTTTTCTCTCTCTCTCTCCACACACACACACACACACACACACAGTTTTTATTAACATGCAGCAAATACGTGTTAAGTACCTGCAGTGCTGCTAATCCAGAGAAAGGCACTCTGCATGGACTTGAGTGAAGGGAAGGAAGGAACTAACATGAGGTGAGCATTCGTTGTCAGGTGCTACACACACGTTATCTATTCAGATTCTCAGAACAGCTCTGCAAGATAGGTAAATGATATTATCCCCAGTTTACAGATAAAGAAATGAAGTTTTGGAGAGTTACTACTAAGTCTGCTCAAATAGAGATGAGAGCAATTACCTGGGCTAACCAGTGTCTCTTTTCGAGAACACAAATGGAGAACTACGGGAAGGGGATAAGATGATAGTGAAAGCAAAAGCTGAAATGACATAAAATGAGCTGTGCGTAAGCAGAACCAAAGCCAACCAAAAACAAAGCGTAGAGAGTATGATGACTGTTCGGAAGCTTCACACTTGGTAATTCCAGAGAAGAGGTGAGTCGACCGTAATGTCTGAGGATCAGATCACTGCCGTTGAGGACAGTCAAGATAATTCGTTCCTAAAACTGCTTTGGAGACTTCTGGTTCTTGAATGACATCCTTTCTCTGTGAGGCCAGACTGCCCCGAATTTTTATGAGATCCTGAAACCTGCCAGCCAAACCTCATTTCAGCCATCCATACACTCACCCACAACTGCCAAGCAGTAGTGTGTCTTCTCTTTCTCTTTCACTTTCCAGCTCTGGGGCAAGTGCCTATGGTAAACCGGAAGCCTATGGAAATGTAGTTTCCAGGCTGCAAGCCCCCGGAAATCGACAAATAGCGTAGAAGGGAGAGGGTGGTGCTGAGATGACCGCAGATAATCCAAGACACCTTCCTGAAAGCATTGGGAAGCTCTTTGTGATTTTCAGGACAGAGTGAGATGATCTGATGTATACGTTTAGAAATAAACTGATTAAAATATAGAGAATGACCTGCAGGGGGACAAGAGCACCTGGGGCAGTCTATTCAGAGGCTCTTTCACTAATCTGTTTGGACCATGACAGT